TATAAAACTTATATAGAATTATTTAAAAAATAATCAACGAGATAAAAGTGTGATAAGCATATGATTTTATATACATTTTACACAAATCGATTTATAATTTAAAATATAAAATATAAAATATATTATATCATTGAAAGAAGGAACTTGCATGATTTTTTTTAAGAAAAAAGATAAAAAAATATTAATTCAATAATGGACATGTATAAATATTTACTTTTTGATATCTTCTACACATTTCATGATTACATTGTATTTTTATTTCATGCTTTATCTCGAGTGTTTGTAATATGTCAGAATTCAAGTTTCTATGGAAACTTGAAAGGTTGAGTCACGGCGTTTCGGTTATATTATTTCGCGCAGATTCAACAAGCGTAGCTGCATGCGCGAGAATTCTCAAGCAAAGAAAAGAAAGAGAAGACAAAAAAAAGAAATTTTTTTACCAATGACATTCTTTTGTGATACAATGAAATACTTTTCAAGACTTCGATGTTTTTCAAACTTGTTAATAGGTTTTGTTACCTTCCTCGAAACTTGTACTCTATCAAAAATTAAAACGAAATTTCGTTCTCATTGAGAAAGAGAGCTCATTTGGGAATAGTAGAAATCGAAATCAATTTTATCTTTCTTCTTCTTTCTCTTACTGTAATTTATATTCATTATTCCTTATGTTTGTTATCAAATTCATTAAAGGTCAGGAAATGATTAATTGATTTAACGAGATTATACTTACAACGTTAATTAACGGCAATTATGTATATATAATATCGAACGATCATCGAAACTATTAATACATGTAGTTTTGACTTCAAATATGCTTAATCGTTGAATTGATTTATATACTTATAAACAAACTATTACTGACGCTAGAAAAATTTTTTATCTAAAAATTTTTATCTAAAAATTAAAAATATTTATAATATCGAAAAACCCAAAATCCACATAAACATTTAATTTTTCTGTTTTGATATCTGTCAACATATAAAATATCTTAAAATAATACTCATTTAATATTTATTTAATAATATTTCATATTCATATTCATTATTAAATTATAAATAATATTTTGAGAGATAAAGAAATACTTAAATAAATATTTTTCTTGGAATCTATTTTGTTATCATATTTTTCTTAATGTATTTGAAAATTTCAAAATATACATTATATATTTATATTTAATTAGAAATAGATGCATAATGATAATATTTACAATTTCTATTTAAAAAATTCTTATATATTTACATTATTTGCAAAATTTGAATATTTATAATAAACAATAGAATTATTCATTTATTGATTCATAAAATTAATTCACATTTAAAAGAACGTTCAATTCAGACGAAATCAATGGGTTTAAAATTTGAATTTATTTTCATCGCCAAATGCACTTACGTTATTTCAAACGAAACATGTGTATGTACAATGTTGAATAGGAATGATGTCATCCAGTTTAGATTATCAAACATATGCATGTGTATTCTTGGTATACGATTATATTATTATCACTGAAGAATTGTTGGATATGATTAAATCACTAGATATAATTCTAAAATATGTTTCATATATATTTTAATCATTCATATATATTTTAAACTGATGAAAGAAAGCATAAATTTATTTATTAGATAAATTATTAAATTACTGAAGTTCATAAATTAATTTGTTTTTGTTCATCCTTTAATATCAATATAAATTGTATTTTCTTCTTAAAAATTTAATCTAAAAATAAATCTAATAAATTTCGCATTATCTTAAAGATTTGATTAAGAATTATCATAATTGTAAATCTGAAAATCTAAAATACTTATATAAATTGTTGGCAATTGTGAATAATTTTTAAATATATAGATGTTTCATCATCAAAAATAATAGAGAAGAACGATAACATATTAATCTTTGAATAATGTATATGATTTTATTTCATTGCGTTTTGGAATTTGTTTATAAAAAATGATATTTAAAATCAGGCAAGTATGAATTTTTATGAGGTTTTCTATTTTCTATATTAATCATATACTTATAAGTATAAAGTTCTCCATTGGATTTCAATCGAAATCTTTTAAAATGTCTATATTTAAAATCTTACGAGAAAGTATAACTGAAAACTAGTCCATATAATACTAATTCTCTTTAATTCGCGAAGAAACTATAGTCAAAGAATTGAAAGTGATTTTAAATGATAAATTCACGTTATGGATTAAAATTCGTGTGATAGACATTTGCACATGGTTGGCTCTCATCATCGATCACAATAGTTTCAAATGTATGCAATACACGAAGAAAATGTTGTCTTATAGTGTCAAGGATACAGTATTGGTTTGCAATTGGCTTTACTTAAGCGAATATTTTCCATTGATCTATTTGCTCTTATAAATCATTATATCGTTTTTATTTTTAATATCATAGAATTGAAAAAGAAATTTTATATTTTATACATATAATGTACATATAATTTTTTATTCGTTTTATTTATTAATTTTTTATAATTTTTTACATGATCTATGAAATTGAAATTATATAGGATACATGATCTTAAATAATTTCAATTTTATAATTAAACATCTTCAAAATATACGTAAATATCTTTTTAATTTTAATATTTTAAAAAATTGCTTATCTGATAGAGTGCGATTCTCGATAATAATTGCATCTAATCTAAATGAAATTTAAATCAGTTTTTTCTTTTCGTATCGTTTTATCGCTTAATTTTTTTCTATCTTTAATTAAATGTTGATTTATTTGTTTTTCTGAGTAGTATCTTATCACCGATTACTTAAAATTTACAATTATTTGCTTCTTACAATCGATCGTAGTGATTCTGCTATTGTTATGTTTTTATGATTGGTAGTAAAATTTTCTAGAAAATTAATACAATCGGAAAATCGATCGTATTGTTAGGATTATAGATTAGTTATATTTTATTAATCAATCATTTTAATTTAATGTTAAAGATTTTTTTATAAACATGATTTTGATGAAATTACATGAAAGATGTCAATCATTGTTCTGTAATTAAAAAGATGTATCTATCAATTAAAATTTCAAATTCCAATATATTTTTAAAAATATTAACACGTGAAATTGTTATAACAAATATATTATTTGTTAAAAGCATTAAAAGTATTATTAGAAGATATAGTATCATTATTGATTTCGTTTTATCAATGAGTCATTTAACGAGAAAATTTTATATAGTAGATAACATGTTTAACTGTTAAAAATTAGAAAAAAAAATATATTTTTATAATTTATATTTCTTTTCTTTATTTAATTTGAATTATCATTGATTCTGATAAATTTATATGAAATACGGAATACGGAATATAGATAATTCAAATTTATGCAATATTTTTTTTTTTCCTTTAAATTTTTTTTCCTTCAAATGATGAAAATGAGAAATATTGTTGAATTAAAAATTATGATATTCCTGAGATTTTAGCATTCCTTATTAAAAGTCCGTTGAACTAACACTTGACTTACACATGGAATATGACCTAAATTCATCTACGGACGATTGTAAAAGCGATGTACCATCTATAGTACCTTCAATGTCAACCGGTTGATATTGTGCAATGTGATGTAATAAGTTGCTGTAAGCTTTCAATCAGATATTTATATATTATATAATCCGATCAAAAATCATCATATTAAATGACTGAAAAATATTAAATATTAATAAATAATTTTTTATGAAATATTTTTATAAAATTTATATTTATTAAATTAATTCACATTGAATTATTACTTATCTTTGAAATTGTTATATATTGCAGGTATGCGGGTTAGGTATTCTAACTCTCGGTGTTTTGGTACATCTACAAATGTTAGGAGTAAATCAGCAAATCGAAACCGGTCTTGCGTTTCCATCGATAACATTGATCGTTCTTGGCAGTATAATCTTTGTAATATCATTTTTCGGATGCTGCGGTGCTATCCGAGAAAGTCATTGCATGACTATTACCGTAAGCATATATTATTATATATAATAATTTAAATTTCACTTATTTAATTGTAAAGTTTAATTCTTTATTTTCAGTTCGCATCGTTTCTCTTGTTTATTTTGCTCGTGCAAATAGCAATTGCCGTTTATGTCTTTATAGTTGTCAAAAATGATGATAATTTCCGCAATATATCAGAGAAATATCAGGAGTTATTTAATAGTTACTTTTTGAATTCGGAGAGTAAAGAGTTTATTGATCTTGTTCAGAAAAATGTGAGTATTGTTATTTATTATTATTTCATAACATCATTTATATTAAAACGAAAAAGAAATGAAATTTTTAGAAATTTATTATTAAATAAAATAATTAAATGAGAAATAATTTTTGCAATGCAGTTGCAATGCTGTGGTGTCCATTCTTCAAGTGATTATAATGATCATCCTATTCCTGCAAGTTGTTGTAGTACTATCGAAAATGATAAAAAAACTTGCTCTATAAGTAATTCATATGCGAATGGTTGTGTAGAAGTATTAAAAGATACGCTCAAGTTTGCCGGAACTGTATTTGGTAGTGTCGCTATTGCTATTGCCGGTGTTGAGGTGAGTTTATTTTATATATTATTTTATAAATTTTACAACAATTAAATCCAATGTATTCTAAACAATTATCAATATATCATATATATCATATTAGTTAGAAATAGATTCAATGAAGTATATATTTACACTGTTATTTACAGCTATCATTTTTTTGTATCTATATTATTACAAAGTAAACATATAAAATAAATAATTATATTGTTCCAGTTAATTGGCATCATTTTCGCACTTTGCCTGGCAAATTCTATAAAAAACGCTGAACGCAGGGGTTATAGAGTATGAAAGTTCAACAGATATTAAAAGAAATATATGTTGAAAAAACGTAATAATTGATAACATTACCATTAATAATTTTATTTAAAGACAGTGATAGGAAATACTATTATTTTGTATTGAAATAAATTTAAATAGTTTTATAAATGAAAGAAAAAAAGAAAATATCTTTTATTTAATTTCGAGCATAGTTCCATTTAAATTTATATATTGATATGTGATATCAAATGTATAAATACATTATTTAATATATTTTTAATTTTGGTACATTTTCATTATATTGATTATATTTTTTTATATATAAGAAGTAAAGTTATTATAATAATAATAATAATTTTCATTAATAATAATCGGTGCAAAAAGTTTTTAAAGATTTAATAAATTTTTTGTTAAATAATTTTTACTTTACGTATTGTAATTATTTTTGTGCACATGATTAGTAAAAATAATTAATAAACGAAATATTAAATTTTTTAAAGTATAATTTATAATTTGTCAAATTAAAAATTATAAAATATTCTAGTAAATTTAATTACAATGCATTATATGTAGTTTTGCGAATATTATAAAAAAGTATTTTTGTAACAATATTTTGATAAGTATTACACATCTTGCTTACATCTGCTTTTATAAAATATAATTTGTATTTTTATTTGTACAGCACACATTCATTATATTGTATTCACAATTTTCAAAGATAATGTTAAATTATATATTTTTCTTATAATAAAATTTATTTTATCTAAATATTTAAGATTATTAATATATTTTTCCATTTCCCTAGAATTTAAAAAAATTTTTTTTTTTAAATTTAATCATATTTTTATTCATAGTAATTTCATTATAGCAGTTTTATATGCAAATTAAACGTCAATATAATGAAATTATCTTTATTCAATAAAATATTCATCTATTTTAATATCTTAATAGATGATTGAGTGAATTGATAATTTTATATTTCAATAATATTTTTATAGGAATGGTTTTTTAAATTAAACATCGAACATGCGCTTTTACATTTGTTATATTGTCATTATTTATTAAGTTCAAGAGAGGATAACTTACATCTGTTGTGCTATAATACATATTATTTACAATGTCTTGATCACGAGTTTATAATGAATTCTTTCTCGATTGGGATAGATCAGTATCTTCAATGATCGCATTTTCGATATAATGCAACTTACACGTATCTTATACCTATTATTAAATGATTATTTTGAGACTATAGGATAAAAGTTGTTTTTGTTTGGAACTTCTTCGTTGTAATTATTACATATTAAAATTGCAATACGATAAATTTCTATAATTGTTAGATATAAATAATAATAATATTGAATTTCAGTATATACTTATATTTTTTCTTATTCACTTTTAACATATAAAGAACTATTCTTGTCTATGTGTCTATGTATATGTAAGAAATGTGTAAAAATGGATAAATGGAAAAAAACAACTTTATATTCATACAGTCTCCATTTCAAATATTGAAAATATTCATCGTATTTTAATATATATATATTATATTAAATATATATATATCTACGTGTAAAATATGTATTTCAATTTTTATCGATTTGATACCTTAAATGGACTATTTTATTTCTATTTGTTATATTGATCAAACGCAAATTAATTTTTAATTTATCTCAAATTATATTTTTCAAATAGTGTAGAATCTTGTACAAATTGTGACGAAATGTCTACTTATTTGATACAGCGTTTTGATCATAGTGTTACTATTTTTTTTTTTTTGTTGAATTCTTCACTTATATTATTTCTATCATCTATAACTCATGCACTGAATGCACGTTAAATATATCCGTTTGAATTTGAACTTCTTCTATTGTATTTTACAATTGATAAGTAATACATTCAATATATTTTCGTTGAAGACGGAACAGAAGTTTATACGCGCTTATAACGTGCATGTAATATCTATGTGTTTCATATAAACAATAGAATATTATGGTATGTCTCAACATTTATCCATAATTATCGACGAGGAAGAGTACAAATTTGTATTCATACAAAATCGTCGAAATATTCTTAATCTAAATTTTTTCTAAGCTCAATTTCGGAAGATGATTCGCGATATCGCGTTACATTTAAATTATACATTTCCATTTGAAAAATGTAGAAACATCTATCTAAATAAGTCTCTTAAATTCTTTAAATTTTATTATGAAATGTGTATCTTTTAAAAGAGTAAATTAAATGTGCGTAATAGAAATAGATTTCATCACCTGATATCTTATGATCTTGTTAAACAAGATCGTAATGGAAGTACTATTTGAAATATTCAAGTATACAATAAAGTACAGTAATCATAGTTCCAGTCTATGATATTCCTTTCATCATGTTAATTTATATGGACTATACATATTATGCTAATAGTGTTCTTAGATCACCTCTTGCATAATGTTATATTTTAATATTATGTGTATAGTATAATAATTAATAAGTCTACTTCCATCTTGTGAACGTAAAATATAATAAATCGATTTATAAGTTTATTAGTTTTTAGATTTAAAGATTTATGAGTTTTTAAATTTATGTATACCATATAAATTTAATAAATATAAAAAAAAAACTATTAAAATTCAATCAAGATTTTATTCAAAGCATCAATATTTTGAAAAGGAAATAATTTTTAAAAATGTTATGAAACTAAATAATATTTTTCATTTTAGTACATGATATACAAGATGCAAATAGATAATTAATAGAACGATCTTATTTCATTATTTCATTATTATAAGAAAATCAATGTTCTATTTACAGATTTGAATATTTGAATTTAATAACAAATAGCAAATATAATTGGATACTACAAAAAGTACAACTTGTACATCTTGAGAACTTCCATTATAAATAGGCAAACGATATAATAATATCTACATATAATCATTTATTTAATTGATTTATGCAATATTTATTGTTATATATTTATTAAAAAAAAAGAGACGTAATTGAAAATAATAATACAAAAAATTTTTTTTAATATTTTTGAATATTTTTCTATATTTCATGCTATAAAAAACTAGTATATCGTCGAAAATTTATTTCAAAGTTGTTCAAAATGTTTTAACAAAAATAAATAGATATCGTCACAATTAAACTATACTGACCCTCAGCAAAACATCTATAAGATATATTCATACCAACTTTTACCTTTCTATCCAAATTATATGCAAATTACTTGCTATAAAGAAGCGTATAACAAGAATAAAAAAAAATCAATATATCTTTAAAGATGTTATAATACAATTCATCTTCGCATGCTTTAAATCTTTGATATAGACATCGAAACATAATATCAGCGCAATTTAAATTCCGCCATTTTATAAAGCAAGCGTAATGACCTATAATTAGAACAGAATAATTTGCCTACCCTTGCACATTCTACAAGGGGCTTCCATTCAATGTATAGCTTTAAGGATAAATTTCAGCATCGCAACTCGTCCTAAAGCGGAGAAAGCTTCATGATGTCGCTACGAAGCTCAGTAGATGGTGTGTCATCCAAATCGATGAGACTAGCATTCGAGCCTGTCGAGGAGGGTGCCACGATCTCGTCGAGGAAGTCAAAAGAGGCCACGGCTTCACGTTCCTTGTCTCCATATCGTACGAAGAAATCCTCACCTCGTCCGATGATCGATGGCCTTGATGAACCCCAGGTTGACGGCAATCGTAATACACGATGTGCCTGGGCCGCCGATGCTGAGAAATCAAGCGCAGCGGGTCAACATGCCTCAGACCTCACTTGATCTCTTTTCTCTTTCTTCCTATACCGGCTCTAGCAGACACAGAGTAGCTCGGCTTAGCACTCTTACACGTATCACGTTCCTCTCTCTTTCTCTCCCTCACTTTCCTTTATTTTATTCGTTTATTCGTTAATCTTTTTTCTTTTTTCTATCTTATATATGATCGTCAATTAATCTCTCTCATGAATCATTGCTTTCGTATGGAAAGTTTTGCATATTGGCAAGCATTCGATTTTTCGCGTATAATTTCGTGACAGCCAAATAGCGTATTTAAATATATTTTCTTAAAAAATTTATAGATATTGAATGATTAGAAAAATATTGCTATCGTATATAGATATGTTTAAAAAGAAATTGATATTTTTTTTATTAATATTAAATTTTATTATTTATTATAAATTTATTATTTATTTTTTTATTGTATAAATAATTTATTCATACAATATTTTGGCTTGTTACGAATGATATGACGAATGACATGATGAATGATCAATGATGATTGAAATCAAGATTATTATGTTAAAAGTTAATGAACCATGTAAAATTTGTGTTACGTCTCTTTTTTTTTCATAAAATAATGGATAATAGAAAAATGATCGAAAAATAAAAATAAATCGAACCCTTGCCAATGATGGAAATTAAAATTAATCAATAGCAATATTTTTTAGAATGAGAGAGAAAGTAACTGTTTTCTGTGTAACCCTTGACGCAATTCCAAACGCATTATTGATTAGATACGAGGATAATATATAATAAATAATATAATGATATATAAAAATATATTTGCATAATATATTATAATTTTTAAATGTAAAAATTTATCAAATGATCAATCTTATTACACATTCGCGTACAAATTTCACTCATACTCTAGTTCTAATAAAAATAAGTCCAAAAAGAAAATTTCATTTTAAAAAAAAAAAAAAAAGAAAAAGAAAAAGAAATACAAATAAATATTATATATTAACACATTACGGACATTATTCAAGGAAAAATATAAATTCTTTTGGCATTGAATTTTTCAAAATAATAAAACATAAAATATGACAGATACATAAAATATTTCAAAGTATCATTCGTAATGTGTTAAAATTCAAGTTTGTTGAATATGTGCTAGATTTTCATTCGTTTACTAATGTGGAATTGCGTAAAGGTGATTGGTAACGAATTCGTTCTAACGTCTTCTGGTTAATGATCTGTTAGTAAGCCAATAGAAAATCCGTTGTAGCCGTACAGTTCACGTTGGATCAGGCATCCATTCAAAATAGGTCCCGGTGAAACGATTCCTCCCAACTGGCATGTCGATTACAGAAACTGATCGTCACTAAGCCGAACTACGTAGCTTTTCTTGTGACAATCAAAGCACACCGCGTAGGAGCTACCATCTGAACAGAAAATGTGGAAAAGGCTATGTACAGCTAGGGCTACCAGCGTTTGTGTTCTTGTTCCGTTTTCTTTTGTAACTGTACAGTGACGAGATGTTAATCGACTAAAGCCACTTAATAGCGTGATATGTTAACGCGTGTTCGTGTTCGAATTCACGCTAATATATTTTTTCAATCTGAATCATTTTATTTTTTTCACTTTCATTACTTTAAGTACATATTAATTCATATTTTGAATTATTTTTTTTATCGAATAAATTTGTTGGCATGTTGAATATAGTAGCGTGATTTTGATATTGTTAGTAATGTTAAATCGAGTATGATAAGCGAAAGCAATTTTTTCTTTTTCATTATGCATTATTAAAAGAGAAAACGTGTTTGCATTTAAAGAGAGCCAGAAGATACGTAAAAATTAAAAAATTAAAAAGTTTGATCGAGATTCAAACTTTCAAATTTTTCATTTTAATAACTTTCGTGTCTGTTCAATTATATCGTGTTCAGAGAAAAGTATATTTTATAAATAAGAGAAAGTATCTCAGAGTGATGTGCAAGATTGGACAAGAAGATATTCTACTGAGACATCATTAAAAAATACCTTTTTTTTGTCGTCGGTATCGATGTAGTCTATGCAAGTGACGGTAATCAGGTGGTTCATCCCCCGAGTCACTTCCGGCTGATCCGCTGCTCGATGTCGCCGAAGAACTTTCACTGCTCTCTAACATCACGTCTAAAAGATTGGCTCTTGCCTATAGAAATATACATTTCACTCGATATAAATCATTTTTAATTGTAATTTTATATATTTAAAATATTAAATAAGTACTCACTTTTGGGTCGGTAAAGTCAATATCTCGTTCAACGTGAACCCATCCAGTTGGACAGCAGCAAGCAAGATCTAATTTTTCGAGCGGTACCTGGGTTTCTTGGGTCACAGTGTTCTCCTCACCTTTCCTGATCATTCGATTCAATTCGTCTATCACGTCCTTCGATGTGGCACGCTCGTGAAAGCTCAGCGATCGATCCCTGCCTTCGACTAGTAGCGATGCTCTCGCTGGACTTACCTAATAAAAGTAAAATGTCAAAATATTTCTCAAAATATTTATTCTACAGTATAGTAACAATGAATTTTCTATATTTTCAAACTTACAACCGTGCTTGGTGTAGAAGAAGTAGCAGCTTCTTCGTCTTCTTCAGGAACAGCACCCAATTCGGATGGCGCAACTGTAGTATAAGATACACCACCGTTGCAAGCTACCGCACTGATTATTCTCTCTTCCGGTGCTAAAGAGGGTACGGGTATTTGATCCAGCAAATCATCATTAGTGCTCGTTTCGATATTCTCCATGTTACTGTTATCTTGATCAACAGGTTCAATTTCGGTGCACATTGCCTCGGTTCCAGACTCATCCTTGTTTTCCGTTTCTTCTAAAACTTTTTACATAAAATTTAACAAAATAATTTAACGTATCCCTAAATAAATATGAATATTAAAAAAAAATGTATATATACCTTCCGTTGTACCATTATGTTCCAGTAGATTGTTCGGTAATTCAGTTAAATACATTTGTTGTTCAGCGATAAAAGACAAGACACTCTGTAAAGCTTGTTCCCTATCCGGTGGAGGTCTTCCGCTTCTCGATGATGTGCTTGCCAAACTCTTCGTGCTCTCGAATTTTACCAGCCTATAGAAATCTCTGGTGAAGTCGGTACCGATCGAAGGTGAATCCGGATCGTCGCTGCAACCGGATAGTGCCGCCGAAGATCGTTTACTGGAATTTTCAAACGCACCTTCTTCACTGCTCCATGAAGTACCAGGACTTGTAGCATATGGCCACGATCCAGTCGCTCTGGCATCCATAAGTAGCGCAACCTAAATAATAAGAATTGATAATAAAATTGATTTTGCAAGTAATTTGAAATATAATTAAAAAAGAAAATATTAAAAAAGAGAAAAAGATTTATATCATATTGCATTCTTACCAATTCGCCTCCTGTTCTATCTGCAAGATAACTGGCACCATTCCACAAGCATTCGTTTGCATCCTCTTCCAATTCCAAAGGATTATGTTCCTTGATTGCAGGAAGCGCTGGAGTCGTAGTGGTGGTGGTGGGTTCTTTCCACACCGTGGATTCATTTTGAACAAGGTCCTCGGTAGATAACGAGAAACTCCAATCTTCCAATTCTGCTCTGTCGTATTCCAACTCGAGAAGATCTCGATGTTGTTGAGCACTTCTACTATCGTCCAACCTGAAGTTTATTTGATTGAATCTTTTATTTCATCATATAACAAAATAAAATAAATATTTTAATTTAATAATTTAATTTAATAATTATTCAAATTAATATACTGATTTAATACATACATATAAAATAAAATAATTTCCAATAAAAATAAATTCGTTCAAAAAATCATTTTTTCTTTCAAAATAATAAACGAACCTGAGCCATTGTTGCACATACTCGGTATCCCAGCCTTCTTCCTCGACTAGAAGTAGAGAGGAGGATCCCATGGGACTCGATAGCTTGTACGGTGTGAAATTAGTGGTAGTGGTCAACTTCAGACATAGATGACTGTCGGAGAAGCTACGCATCACGTGCTGATACGGTAGCAAATCTTTGGTCGGGGGATAACTGTGGCGTGGATTTATTCCTACAGTGAGATTCAATGGCAAAAACAGGACGTCAGGATCGCCGGCGTCGAGGGCGACCAATCGTGCATCCGGTGAAACGTCTGCCTCGGTCTCATCTGTCGCCTCTTTCAGATCCTCTAATCCTCGGGATGGCTCCTGTCGAGCACCCTCACCTTGTACATCGCTGGACATCGTTGAATAACCTTCGTCTCTGTTCCCGCTCTCTGGACTCTCGCTACCTTCCTCTTCCGATGGTTTCTGGGCTGAAATTATGGCGGAAATTTATTTTCATATTATTATTTCAAAGATATATCGTAATATATACCGTATTTGATAATTACCATAATATATTTTACAAATTAGTAATTCCAATATCTCTAATAATTAATAACTTTTATTACCTAGCGGTCTGTTTCTTCGACATTTCGTGGCAGCCATGACTGGTATTTGTAAATTGAGCGAGCGTGGCCTTGACAAGGGAACCCAAGCTGGATCCAGACCAAGGGCGGCCACTACTGCCGCTGGTCCAGCTTCGAGAATCCCTTGAATCAATTCTGTTGGACTTCCAGGATTTGCGGCTTGGGCCAATAATCCTGAAAGCGCTCGATTTTGAGCTTCGAGCTCTCGAATACGCCTCTGCAATGCACCGATTTCTTCCCTGAGACCCTATACATGGTAAAAAGCAATGAGTATTTTCTATCCGTCGAACGCGATTCTAAAGATGACAATAGAAAGCGCGTTAGCGGATGAACGACGAGAATTTTAGACTAAACAAGAAAATTGAAAATCGGATCGTAATAGACAAGCATTTTCATACATAATAGCGTTAAATAAAACATCTTCTAATTTATTTACATTTATTTTTCTACATTCAGAATTTTGAGCATATAATTTATGTACGCTGATAAAATCTATTGATAAGTATATTCTTAGTATGCGTGGATACACACACGCTTGCAGTTTTGTAATATTGCAGCTCAGCAGATGGATAGATAGGAGTTATATTGAGGTGAAATTTGGTTAATGGACACTTTTAATTGAAAAGAGAGAAAGAGAGAGAGAAAAAAAAGAAAGAAATCAAATGTAAAATTTAAAAGTGCCTTTCAAAATTATTGATCAACGAAATCGATTCATAAAGATAGATAAAAATAAAATGTAATTTATTTCGAATATATCGCCCATATATTATCAAATAATTAAACATAAAGACCAAGTAACGCGCGATCATATAATAATTCATTTCATTCGTGATTCGTGAAAAATTAAAAAAAAAGAAAAAATGAACGAAAAGCGACAAAGAGATAAGACGAAGAGAAGAAAAATAAGATTGAAGGACGTGGTAACGAGAGCATAGCAATGAACCTTTTGGGATAGAAGGGCGCGGACCACCTGGTTGGCGACGTCGTCCAGACACCGCTCGTACTGGCGACGCTGAGCGTCCGCGTCCCTCGCCAAAGCGGCGTGTTCTGTTTCCAAGGTCGCCAGACGTGCCACCAACGCGGCATGCACCTCACCAGCACACGCAGCCTCCAAACCGCGCAGCTGACCCCTCATCGACTCGTTCTCCAGCTGCAGCTTCGAGATTTGTGCCTGATATTGATGTACACGCGCCTATTCGAAACAAAAGAAGAAAAAAGAAAAAAATATTAGTAAAAACGATCGAATCATTGTTCTTCAACGAAAATCTGTATAACATGATTCTGCAGTTTGATATTCATCTCAATGATTTCGATTTATTTATATTACTTTCAAATAATTTCGAAAAATATAAAACATAGTTTTCGATACAAGTATTATCCCATTAATATGTACAGCTTATTTCGTTGCATTTTTCTATTTCACAATTGCTTTTTGTACATGTCAAAGAATATATATGTATAGAACACTCTTCGATTCTTTCGATGCCATACGATAACAATCTCATGAACTTCGACGTTTCCTCCTTGGCAAAGTGCAGTTTTCTCAAGAAGTTCGATGCATCTCGTGGCCAGAGTTAATAACACGAGCGGCCGTTATTAGCAGAAAAGCGTTTAACGTTAAATTAGGGTTGCGGAGACCTGTCGGAGACAGGGGTGCTAATAGAGGGTGCGTGTGTCTGATTTATAACAGTCGTGCCAGCCAGCCGGCCCTTGCTAATGTCTACACCCCCTTCTTCTTCCAAAACTGAAGGGAGGCCAACGATTTTCTGTCATCCCACGCGGGGGTGGAAAATAAAAATACATACTGTCCGCTTCTTGGAATTCTTCCCGCAACGCATCCTATATTTCCACGAGTGGTTTCATCATTCGCGTCGTCATACTTTATAGTCTCCAGCTTCTTCGCCTCGTTCATAAATTGTATCGAATCGACGATGGGAAAATATCTAATCTAATTACGAGTTTGCATTGTCGCGACAATGTTGAGGAATACTCGTAACACGGGAGTGACGTTCAACATTGCTTCAAGAATCCCAGTGACGAGAATGCAAGAGTTTGTAGTTTGTAATTCTTTAACAAATTTCATAAATTTTACTTTCTTCTATAATATCAAATTTTAGGATACGGATGGTTTATTTATTTTCTTTACTTTTCAGCGAATATAAAGTATACATCTCCATTATTTTGTTATTATTATAGAAAATATTTCCAGCTTTTATACGAGTCTGAATATGAATCAAAAATCTATTTTATTTGATATTACTCTTTCTACGTTCAGAATTCAAACTACGAAATTAGCAGCTTTCCATCAATCGTTCACTCATTTCATTTGTCGAGCAAAAGAAAAGAAAAATTTGAAAACGATACAAAATTCTTTTGTATTTTTTATGGAGGAAAATATTACGTCGAGGAAGAAAGCAACCAAACAACTTTTCACGATCGGGAAGGGTGAAAGTAAAATCGAACGGCTAGAGAGAACACTTGCAGACGTTATACAGTTCCTCCGTAGGTTGGAGAGAGATTTTTAAGGGGTTTGGGCATCAGTGGGGGTGGGCCGACATCGAGCCAGGGGGATCGAGTGACGATCGATAATAAACGGTATTTCGTGGGGCAGTGATGCACGCCCCTCGCCTCTGAATCTACGACTCTTTTAGAAGCAAACCGGCCGTGAACGAGATAGTGCGTACCATTCTAAGGGTTCGCAGCAAACGCGACCGTTTACCGTTTCCTCCCTTTTCATTGGACCCGGCCGCGATGCTTTACTTCGTTAAGTCGGAAATATTGGCAAATATGTGGCCAAAGTATCGTCGTTTATATCCTTGCTTTCGCTTGAATCGATTAGGAAATTAGGAAATTTGATTTCTATGCTTGCGTTAATTAACGTTTTCTCTCTTTTGAATATTTTTCTGAATTTATTCGTATAATTTTTCTAGGGGCAACTTTACGCGCGATAAAATGTGTTAATTCTCCTACTTTTTCCTCTCCAATTTAATTTTGTATTCGAAGAAATTGTTTGAAACGATTAATGACAAATACACTGGAAGCTTTCTAATCGATATTAAAGATACAGAAGGGCAAAATAAATTGCGTTACAACGGGAAAACGGTGAATTTGGCACTTGTTCCGTGTCGCAACCAGGAACAATCGTACATGACAATTTCGACTGACGTACAACAGGCTGCTGGTTCACGGTACGAGAGTGTTATTATTGGACCGGGAGGGGGAAGGCGGAGGAAAGCCTTTTACCAGAGTATCACCGTGTCTCTGTATTATAGAAAAAAAAAAGAAGAATCGCGAAATATAAAAAAAGAAAACTGAATAATAATAAACGGTGGATAGTTTATTCTCGATCGATTGAAGAGAGTTTAGCAGTCTCTTCGTTATCTGTTCGTGCTTATCGACAACAGGGGCCAATGGTTGAATCGAAAAAGGGGGACCCCGTTTCGCTTTTCATTTCGTCCTTGGCTCCGGAAGGCACGTTAAAATCAGATGAACCACTCGAATGAATATAAATTTAAGGAGGATCGACGCTCTCTTCGTGGAATTGAAAATCCTGCCTCCCTTCAGGAAGGGCCTATGTGTTTCGATTTAACGCGAAATACGACCAATTATCGAGCAATCGTGCTCTTCGAGGAATCGAAAGTTTTAATGGTGGCCGTATACCAATTTGTCTAATGAAAGAAAAATTTAGTTATAACATTATATCTCCGACATGAGTTTCTAATTCTATCAATTTTGTTACTTCGAAACGTTTTATATGGATTCAATTAATTTCTATTCGTATTTTCTCTTTCAATTAAATTTATTGATGATATTAAATTGGAATTATAATATTTACCTCGTAAGAAAGCGTAAGAGCAGTTTTCTCTTGCTTCAGCTGTTCGGCCCTGTGCTTATGCTGCAGCAACCCTCGTGACGTCTCCTCCATCCTGGAACAAATCGAACACACTTGAAGAAGCGAGTTTTAATTCTCGTCGAAAAGATTCTAATTGAACCGACCCCCGTGTTGTCCCCCAATCTCTTTTTTGTCATTGTTGCACACGTCTCGATTGCTCTCAGCTTGCTAATTCTACCGTGAAGTATTAATACTTCAAAATCCAATATAATCGTATCGGGGGTGATCGAAGCATTCGTCGATAAATAAAATTCGAAAATAAATAAATAAAATAAGTAAAAAGAAGAAAAAGAAATAATAACGGTGAGCAACCAACGTGTGAAAAATGTATCCTTTGTTACACACGATTTTATTACGGTTAAATGGTTTGTAAATTTAAATCATCGCTGGAGTATCGATGTTATCGTTATGATTACAGAGGTGAGAAATTGTTACAAAGGGGGACGGGTAATGGATACGATTGTGGAACATGTTGTCACAGCTGCGAATAAAAAATGGTCTCTCATTTGGAAGACAGTTGCCATTCCACTACTACTTTCCACCCCCGTTGAGCGAAATTTGAAACCATCTGTCGTGGAAACAATCTTGTTTATAAGCCGCAAAAAATTTGAATGGAAATTAAATTCGATATTTTTAAAATTTAACGTTCCAATTATATCCTTTTTACGCGAAATAACCAATAAAAAAGAAAAAGAAGAAAAGGTGTAAGAAAATGATAAAACTACGAAATAAAAGATCAAATTTAAAATATACGTAAGGGAGACAGAATCTCGCCAAGTTTGGCCATCTACTTCCCTGTTTCTAATCTAATAATTCGGAGTGTACCCGAAGAGAGGTTCCATCCGCAAGCGTGCACGTTTACAGAAAAGGTCAAAGCGGAAAAAGTCGCGACCCCGACCTCTCGCTTCGATGTTGATTCGATTATCCATTTCCTTCGCGGAACGAGGACGCGGAGAGGGACGCGTTTCACGACAAATTTCTTCATGCGCACGCTCCGCGAGCTTAATGATCTGATTAGAGATACCAAGAGGGTTCCAGGGGTTGAGATATGAAGCCGATTTAAGCTTTTCAAGGGAGACGAACCGGGGGAGGGCTCGCCTCCAACACGCTTGGCAACACCCTTTACGCTTCAACCTCCGTCCTTCCCAACCACCCCTGAACCTCATTCTTCTTACTTCTCTACCTCTTTTCGAAACTAACTTTCGAAACTAACTGCGCGCTTCTTGGGGGGTCCGGCGGCGTCCGATTGTTTTCCATCGGGAAGGAGCCATCTGCAAGAATGCGGAAGGCTGTAATGAAGATTAATTGATAATTGCTCGGTGGCCACGGTTCGTTCTCTCCCCTTCTCTACGTTTCCATCCGTGGAAAAATTACTTTTTCAAACGAATACGAGTTTCGCGCAACTTTGTTGCCTCGATAAAGTTCGAGTTTTCGGGATTCGTTCGAGGAAAAGTACAGAGAGAGGATAGAAAAGTAGCAGCGTCATCTGAAGTTTTCGGCAATTTCGCACAGAGGATGCTGTTTTAATATCGTTTACCGTAATGATGGGTTTACGAAGCGAGGATTGAAAAGAAAAGGAATCGATGGAAGGCAGATCGATTTCTCTCTTCGCTTCGAAAAACATTTTCCATCCAGAGATTGTCTCGCGGAGTGACTGGTCTGTGTACATATCGGATCGTGGAAAGAAACTCCGCGAATAAGCTGATTGTTCTGGCGGGGGAGTTGCTTGTTCAGACTCCTGGATTGTGTATATTCGAGGAGTTCGAGGATGTTAATCGGCTTAAAAGTCCGCTCGTTAAAGTTCCAAGTTTACCTTAAGACTTAATGTGCTTCCGAAACGATTATGAAAATGGTTCCCCGAGCCAAGATTGAAGTATCCGATCAGCCTTGAAACGCAAGATAAACCGTCCATCTATATTAACGCCATCCTAGAACGATGACAACGTCTTATCCCTTTCGTTCGTCCCTTTTCCACTTTCTCACCTCATTTCCATTTCTATGCTCTCTCCGATACTTTGTAGACTTTCAGACGCGATAGAAGATGAGTTACAATGTACAGGCCACTAAGTTATATTGGAAAAAGTTTTGGGCGAATTAAAATTCGAGCGATCGCAAGTTTGTTCGAGTATAATTCTGTTTGACAGAGTAATCAATAAGTTTATTGATTATGACATTAGTCATTACAAATTTTCACGAATACCGTTACATAAAAATGAAACTGAAATAAAAAGTTGTTCTTGCGCGCATATACAGAGATTTTTTAATATTTAAATTTTTCATAAACGAAGGAAGTGAATTTTGAGAAATTCAGAGAAATGATTATTGACGAGGGTGGGAGTTTTATTCTTATTTCGAGGATAATGTAATAATTGACGAGAGGTGAAAATAAGCCTATAACCTTCTTCATTAGAGTTTCGCTCGAAGATCGATTTAGGACTAACGGAATTATGGGGGAGACTTTCCGCGGTAATTCCGTATAACTTATCAACTGGGGTGCCATTTCAGGCGCCAGGCTTAAGAACAATGGTTCGCAAACAGTAATTATAAGTGCAAACAGAAGAGCGATTGTCAGAGGGGCAGTCATACGATGAATAATCAAGATTGGAGAACCCCTATACCTTTACTTTGCACAACGTCCCTTTATGCTCTTCCTCGAAGATTCCGCGGATTTGTTCGTTCCTGATTGTTTGATCACGAGGAACTTCAAATAGAGACCGACTATCGAAGGATTAATTGGCTTTGTTTCGAAACGACATCTCGACTCTAACCTCTAAGATCGATCAAAATATATTTCATCCATTGAAAATTCAATTGCTCTCGATTGAACGATCTTTAGAAGGATTAAATCGAGAGAAATTCTTATTTTCGACTCAATATCGTTTAAAAAACCGGATAAACATTCTTTCGAGCCAACGCAAACTCTAAACCAGCTTGTAACAGTTTCGTCCACTGTTAATTAAAATACGTCAACGTTTCTTCTTTTCTTTTAATTAAAATCCCGGAGCAAATTTCCTCCAACGTCAAATCGCCAACTCTTTTTTCCAGCCACGATCCGGCGTTCCTCGGCCGGAAAATTTAAGTGTTTGGATCGCGATAAAAAGGAGACAATGTAGAGAGAGCGCATTGTCTCCACCGTTTTCCGACAAGTGAGAAGATGATTATCGTTTAATGAAAGTCCAACTATGCGCGTATATAATTCGGACCTGTGGTGTTCCTGCATCATTATAATCGAGTTTGCCGGGTAATAGTTGTAAATCACATGGAAACGGCTGGTCGCCTCCACGTGTTCCGCTTGTCGATAGAAACTTTGCGATATAATTAGGGAAGAAAATGAAAATTTGAAATTTGAATCGATATATTTCTTCGCGCCATTTTTTCGAGCGAATAGGAGTGCAGCTATTTTCTTGCATCTGAAATTTTACAAATTAGAAAAAATATAGTGGGAAAAAGTTTCAAATGAATTTTTGGTAGAAAAATTTTACATATATAAAGATCAAACAGAACGCGGATATATTGAAAATCGTGACAGTCTGGAAGTACGTATGGGGATGAGAAAGTTTCTAAGGACGGTGAATGTGGGGGAGTGAAAGTTTCAAGGATGACAAATAGAGAAGAGTTCGGAGTCAGGAAGTTTAAACGATACACTTAACTGTCTCCCAAGTTCATCATACTACATCTCAAGCCAAATACCGAGAAACTGTCACGATTTTAAATCAATTTCATTCTATCAAACTTTCTTTCCATTTTTAATAATCTCATCGATCGTTAATTTTCTGTTCAATTTCCGTTTCAACAAAATTTAACAAAAGTTCCTCATTGAAATTTCAATGCTTCCGATGCTTTCTCTCAACGAGAAGCGTTAAACCATAAACTCGTATTTCAATTAAATTCCAAATCAAATACCGAAACTATATTTTCAATCAATCCCGTTCATTCATCGAACTTCCTCTTCATCTTCTATCGTTACATTTCTATTCTTCGATTCCAATTTAATCCTTCATCAGCGCTTTCAACGAGGCTCCATAAACTCTCCTATTTCATTAAAATCTATCGCCGTGGAAAAAAGAGCGACGCGGAACGATCCTATTGCTGCACTTTACGCAAAAAAGCGCGTAAAATGCAGCTACCCGGAAAAAGGGTTGTCCAGGAGAATGTAATCCGCCTCGTGGCATTATTGTAACTGTGTGCACGGGGTCTGGTAATTGCCAGCGACCCGTGCTTTGTCGAGGAATTGATCAAGAGGACCTCGCCGCGTACCCTTCCCTCCATTCCATTCCATTCCATTCCATTCCATTCCATGGTGTTCGGCTCCGCTCGGCTCGGCGATCGGCCGAGATTCTTTCTCGAGGAGACAGGATACATTCTCGCGAAACCATTAATCTCGTTTCGTGAATTGGCTCCGGGTCGTGGATATTTTTCAAACCGGAACAAGTATTCGTGGAAGACGTATTGTTACGAGGAACGCGATTGCCAAACCATTGCCTATCTTTCGCCGATAAATTGGAGGATGGTACGATTTTTACGATTTACTTTTGACCGTACTTTGTTTGGAAAGAGAGAAACTTGCGTGAAAGGATATATCTTTGTTACAAAATCAGATTTATTGTAGCTTTGCATCTGCACACGAGGATAGAAGTAATTTTTTATAGATGAACGTATATGATGAAAATAAAAATATTTGAAATTAATTAATATGACTGGTTTGTTAAATCTTTTCCTTATATTCATAAGAAATTGTGTAGATATTGCAGATTATTTGTAGATGTAAAATTTATATAATTTTTTTAAATATAATAGACAAAAATAACATAATTATAAGAGTATAATATTAGAAAAAATTATATAAAATTTTAGAGTTATGTATTACAATTCACACACTCATACATAAACACTATATAAACATTCGAAGAAAAATAAAATAATTCTTATTCTCAACGGATTAAAATATTTACGTTTATATATTCTTCTCAGAACATCTTCCAAATAAAGTGATGTTATATATTGAAATACCATCAGTTGTTAACATAATTCTCG